GACGCGTCGGGCGCGGCGCCGCCCATGGGCGGGAGGCGCACGGACTTGACCTGGCTGCTCCGCCTCCCGCTGACCCAGCCCGGCGCGTCCGCGAGCGGCACGGCCGCCGGCTCGTCCGCGCGCGGCTTCGGCGGCGTCGCGAGGGGCTCGAGCGCCGCCGGCGTTTCGGGCTTCTCCGCGAGCTCCGGGTCGGGCGCCGTGTAGACCTTGGCGAGCTTCTTGTTCTGCTTCCGGAGCTCCTTGCTGTGGTGCTTCCAGAAGACGCAGCCGCCGGCGCCCGCGCAGAGCACGAGCGCCGCGACGACGACGAGGACGACGGCGTAGGTCGCGCGGCCCGACGACGACGACGACGCCTTGGCGGGCCGCGGCGTCGGCGCGAACGTCGCCGTGGGCGCGGCGGACGGCGCGGCCGTCGACGGCCGCGGCGTCGGCGCGGGCGACGGCGCGGGCGTCGGCCCGGGCGACGGCGCGGCCGTCGGCGGCAGGGAGCCCGTGGGCGACGCCGTGGGCGCCGAGTAGATGGCGCCCGCGGCGATGCAGTAGTGGAAGCGCTCGGCGCTCTCGTCGCCGTCGAAGGCCACGTAGATCGACGAGAGCTCCGTGGACACGCGGTACGCGAGGGTGCCCGCGACGGAGAGGTCGGCGAAGGCGAACTCGAGCGACGTGCAGCCCTCGGGCGCGCAGTCGTAGACGCGGTCCCGGAAGGGCGCGGCGTGCGCGTACGTCGTCGAGACGACGCGCGTCGCGGCAGAAGCGCCCGTCGCGAAGTCGACCGTCGCGTTCCAGACCGTCTCCGTGACCGTCGTCCAGGCGGCCTCGTCGGGGAAGAAGCGCAGGGACACGCGGTTCGCGCCGGCGCACTCGCGCGACGGGTACGGCGTCGGCGCGAGCGACGGCGCGGGCGACGGGCCCCGCGACGGCGCCGCCGTCGGGAGCCCCGACGGCGTGTGCGCGGCCGTCGGGAGGAGCGACGGCCCGACCGACGGCGCGAAGGTCTTGAGGACGGTCGTGCTCACGCCCGTGTACTCGGCCTGGGCGGCGAAGTCCGCCAGGGACGTCGCCTGGAGCCGGCGGCCGGCCGTCGCCAGCCGCCGCGCCGCGTCGGCGATGTGCGCCTCGGCCGTCGCCTTGAAGGACCCGTCGTCGATGGCGTCCGCGACGACGTCGTTCGCGTCGGACGCCGCGCTCGACACCGTGCCGCCCGCGCCGCGGTCCATCCAGTCGTCCGTGTAGAGGTGCGTCGACGCCGTGAGCGACGCGCCATCGCCGTCGACCGCGCAGGACACCTCCGTGACGCTCGTCGCGTCCGTGCCGTAGCCCGTGCCCGCCGTCGTGTTGAGGACGTCGATGAACGTCACGATGAGGATGCCCTCGACGTCCAGGCTCTCATAGTCCTCGCAGAACGTCGCGCTGGACGACACGTCGACGTTCAGGACCATCTCGAGGTCGAGGCGCGACCGCGTGGGCGCCGCGCTCGGGAGGGCCGTCGTGGGCGCCGCGGACGGCCGCGTCGTCGTGGGCAGCGGCGACGGGCTGCGCGTCGGCGCGGGCTCGGGCGCCTGCGACGGCGCGGACGACGGCGCGGGCGACGGCCGCCGCGTCGGCGCGGCCGTCGTCGGCGCCGGCGCGGGGACGCGCGTCGGCGCGGGCGCGGGAGCGCCGGACGGCGCGCCGCTCGGCGCGGCCGTCGACGGGCTCGCCGTCGGCGCGCGGTCCACGTCCCCGTCCTCGTCGAGGCAGTAGTCGTAGTAGATGTCCGCCGCGTCCGTGAGCGTCACCGTCGTGAACGCGTCGCCGCCGCCGATCTGGTACCACGCGCCGGACGTCGCCGACGGGTCCGTCGTCGTCATCACGAGAGTGACGCAGCCCGGCGTGACGCAGCCGTAGGTGACGCTCGAGCTCCACGAGCAGGGGTCGCACTCCGCGACGACCGTCGCGCCGTCGAAGTCGCGGTCGAGCGTCGACGTCGTCTGGTCGTAGGCGACCCAGGAGACGTAGGTCGAGAAGAGCGCCGGGTCGCTGTGGACGATCTTGAGCCGCGTCGTGTCGGCGTCGGGGCACTCGGCGAACGAGGGGACCGGCGTCGGCGCCTCGGACGGCGCGGGCGACGGGACCGCCGTCGTCGGGGCGGGCGTCGGCGCGGGCGTCGGCGTCGCCGTGGGCTCGGGCGACGGGCTCGGCGACGGGGCCCGCGTCGGGCGCGGCGTCGGCGCGGCGGTCGGCTCGGGCGACGGGCTCGGCGACGGGACGGGCGTCGGCTCGGGCGTCGGGGCGAACGTGGGCCGGGGCGTCGGCTCGAGCGTCGGCTGGGGCGTCGGCCGCGGCGTCGGGGCCTGCGTCGGCTGGGGCGTGGGCGGCCGCGTCGGATCCGGCGACGGCGACGGCGTCGCGCCCGCCTGGGGCCGCGGCGTCGGCGAGGGCGTCGCCGCGGCCGCGCCGTCGTCGTCGTCCGGCGTGCACGCGTAGCACGTCGCGTCGCAGCCGACGCTCGCGAGCACGCCCGCGGCGTCCTCCTTGGAGTCGCAGCGGTCCAGATCGCCGCTCACCCAGGAGCAGTCCTTGTCCGGCGACCCGTCCTTGTACCAGCTGGCGGAATCGGCGACGCAGGCGTGGCCGACGGGCGCGGGCGTCGGGTCCGGGTCGCCGGCGACCGCCGTGCACTCGTTGCACGTCGCGTAGCAGCCCACGCTCGCGAGGACGCCGGCCGAGTCCTCCTTGGAGTCGCAGCGGTCGAGGTCGCCGGAGACCCAGTCGCAGCCCTTGTCCGGGGAACCGTCCTTGTACCAGGACGCGGAATCGGCGGTGCACGCGACGGGCGCCGCCGTCAGCGTCGGCTGCGGGCTCGGCTGGTTCAGCTCGCAGTAGGCCTCGAGCTCGTCGTCCGTCACCGTCGAAATGTACGCGAGCGAGCCGCTCGTGAAGCACGGCTCGTCCGTCGTCATGTAGTACTGCCCCCCCGCGGAGATGTACTGGAGGTAGTAGTCCTGGGAGTTCACGTAGGAGCAGCGGCTCGAGCAGCAGTAGCTGTCGCCCGTGACGTCGCGGATCTTGTGAAAGGTCTCGTAGTTGGAGATTTCCAGGAAATCGCAGCAGTACTTCTCCTTGCCGCACTGGTCGTCCTCCTTGGACGGCGACTGCGTCGGGGCCGCCGTCGTCGGCGCCATGCTCAACGTCGGCCGCGGCGTGTCGCTCGAGTAGAGCGACACCTCGAGGTAGTCGCCGACGACCTCGAAGTACGCGCTCATGGGCCGCGACGTCGTCGCGTCGCCGACGTCGAGGATGATGTTGTCGCCGTCCTCGCAGAGGCCGTCCGTGAGCAGCGTCGTGCTCGGCTCGCAGTCGACCATGCGGCTGTTGCCGTACTTGCCCGACATGCCGCTGTTGTAGCTGAACCCCGACCAGGTCATCAACGCGCCGCTCTGCTGGGAGCGGTACTCGATGAAGAGGAACTCGTCGTCCGTCGACGTCGACACCTGGAGCGCGACGGGGTAGCCGGGCTCGAGCGCCCCCGTGTCCGTGCCCTGGATCGTGTACGTGCAGGGGTTGCACTGCGGCGCCTCCGACGAGTCGTAGGGCTCGACGTACTCGACGTACTTGTTCAGGAGCCAGTCGAAGGTGAGCTTGCCCTCGACGGTGAAGTGGTTGCTCAGGTCCGAGCTCGACACGTCGCCGCCGCCCATGGGCGAGAAGAGGTTCCCGTACTCGATCCAGTCGTCGTCGTCGTCGTACCACGCGTTGACGCCGCCGACGTCGTCGCTGTCGTTGTCGACGTAGGACGCGTGGTTCGCGCCGAAGTTGTGGCCGACCTCGTGGATAAACGACGGGTCGTAGTTCGTCGCGCCGAGGTTGAGGAACGCGCCCTCCTGGGAGACGTAGCCCACGCCCGCGGCGCCGTTCCCGGAGCAGTAGGGGACGACGACGACGTTGAAGTCGTAGTCCTCGCGGTCGTAGCCCTCGTCGAGGGACGCCGTCGCGGCCATGACGTCGAACGCGTCCGGGTCGCCGTCGTAGTTGCCGCCGTACCAGTCGAGCTCGTCGTTGTCCTCGCACGTGCTCTGGTCGTAGTCGACCTCTAAAATCGGCGTGATCGTGACGTCCACCGTGAAATTGCCCCAGCTGTTCGCGGTCCAGAAGTCCTGCGCGAGCGCGACGACCTCCTCGAGGTACGAGATCACGTCGCCGTCGTGGTCGCTCGCGATGACCTCGTAGTCATAGACCGTGTCGCAGTCCTCGCTCGACGGGCAGATCACGGAGACGAGCATCGTCTTGGCGCCGAGGATCTTCTTCGAGTACTTGTCGTCGAGGCGCGCCGCGGGCCTCCGGTCGCGAGCGGCCGGTCGGTCGGACGTCACGAAGACGCCGTCGACGACGGCGCCGACGACTGGCTCGTCCCGCGCGGGGCCGCGCGCGGGCCCCGCGTAGGGATGATGCGTGACGCTGCCATCGCCGTGGCGCAGCGCGGCCTTCGTCTCGCGCCGCGATCGCGCCGCGCGGTCGCGGCCGCGGCTCCGCGGCGTCTTGATCTCCACGGTGACGTCCGCGGACCCGACGAAGGGCGCGTCGGCGTGGCAGTCCGCCGGGAGCTCGCGCGACGCGCGCAGCTCGTCGAGCGCGAAGCTCAGGTCCACGGCCGCGCCGTGGTCGCCGCTGGAGATGAGGGAGCGGAGCTCGCGCAGCCGGGCGGCGCAGGAATCGGCCGTCGCGTTGCGAACGACGCCGTCGTGGACCAGCCGCGATCGGAGGCTCAGCTGACGGTCGATTCTATAGTGGGCGCAGGCCAGCGCGAACCACGGCCAGACCCAGGGCAGCGTCCACATGCCGAAGGCGCTGCCTCACGAGTGCCTGGGGTTTCATAAACGAGGGCAAAGTTGAAATGAAAGTTGCTGGATGCCATCCGCACTTCGCGCGGGCAGCACCTCAAGTGTCAGAGGATCAGATGCTGGCTGGCTCTCGCCGGCCCACCTAGGGGGCCGGGAGGGCTGCCCCGGGCTGGCCGGGGCATGTCGAGCTTGGCGACGACGACGGAGGCCGCGACGCGGAGCCCGCAGTCGCTGGCGAGCGGCGGCGACGACGAGGGCTGGTGGATCTATTTCCGGGCCGAGGCGCCGGACGGCTGGCCCGAGCGCGCGCGCGCGGAGCCCGTCGTCGCCAAGCTCGCCAAGGAGCGGCCGGTGCTCGCGGCGGCGACGGAGAAGCGCTGCGGCGCCGGGGACGCGCGGGAGGTGTCGTCGCGCGGCTCCGGCGCCTCCCCTCGCGGCCGCGGCCGCGCCGGATCGACGCGCGCGCTCGCAGGCTGAAGCGCGCGCTCGCCGACGCGCGCGCGGCCCTCGTCGACGCGCTCCAGCGGCGGGCGCGCGGCGTCCGTTTCGGTCTCGCGCCTCTGTTTGAGAAGAAAAAAAACGGACTCGCGCCGTCGCAGGCGCGACGCGGCCCTCCGCCAGCGCGACGCGGCCGTCGTCGAGCGCGACGCGGCCGTCGAGGCGCTGCGGTCCCAGACGCTGGCCAACGCGCCGCCGCCGGGCCGCTGGCGCGGCCGCGGCCTCGACGACGCGGACCGCGGGCGCGTCGCGGCCGGCCTCGTCGGCGACGAGGTCCTCAACGGCGAGGTCGGCGAGATCCTCAACGGCGGCTACGACGACTACCCGGAGCCGCCGCCCCTCGTCGTCGACCGGGACCTGGCCCGGCCGCCGTCGGCGCCGGGGCGGCGCGGCGGCGGCGACGGCCAGCGGCGCCGGTCGCCCGCGCGCGAGCCGCCGCGCGCCGCGAGCCGCGAGCGGCCCGCGTCCGCGCGAGCGCGGAAGAACGGCGAGGCGCCGCCGCGGACGAACGGCGACCGGGCGGCGCCCTACGCCGACGGCGACCGGCCGTCGCGGCGCGCGCGCGCGTCGCCGAAGAAGGCGGCCAAGGACCGCGGCGCCGCGCCCGAGCGCCGCGCGAAGCATAGCCCGGGGTCCGCCTACGACGGCGGCGAGGCGGGCCCCAGCGGCCAGGAGCGGCGGCGCAGCGACGCGCGGCGCCTCGCGGAGCTCGTGCGCGCGACGGCCGTCGTCGTCGACCGCGTCGAGCACCGCGCGGCGCGCGACCTCGCGGCGCGGTGCGACCGGCCCCCCGTCCGGAGGCGCGACGCCGGCGCGCCCCGCCGGTCGCCGTCGCCGCTGCGGTCCGCGTCGTGCGAGCGGCCCGCCTGGCGCGCGACGAGCCGCGCGCCGACGCGCGCGTGGGAAGACATCGCCAAGTCGTCGGTCCGCGCGCGGACGCCGCGCCGCGGCCGCGGCGAGTCGCCCAAGCCGCCGGCGGCGCGGCCCAACGGCCACCGCTCCGTCGACGCGTCGCCGGCGTCGCGGGCCGACTCGTCGCGGGACCGCAAGCCGAAGCGCGGCGCGTCCGCGGACCCGCCGAAGCGCGCGTCGTCCGCGGGGCCGCGCAAGGCGAGGCCCACACCACGGGGCCGCGCGCCCTGACAACTCCCGTCGTTCGTGCTTCCGGCTCTCCGCGCATCCGCCGCCCTCCGAGGCGCCCGCGGCGCAGCACGCCGACGCCCAAAAAAATCGTCCGCGCGGCCCAGCAGGGCCGCGCAGCTAACCCCTTTGTGTCACGATCCTACGCGGGCGCCCGCTCGAGGTTCTTCCGCGAGACCCAGCCGGCGACGGGGACCGCGATGCGGCAGCGGACGACGCCGCCGGGGATCGTCCGCTCCTCGACGACGACGACGCGCGCGCCCGTCGGCAGCAGGTCGCCGACCTGCGGCGAGCCCATGTCGCGCCGTTCGCGGACGAGCGCGCCGAGGCGCCCGCGGACCGCGTAGGCCGCCCCCGCGGCCGCCTCCTTGCGCGCCCGCGCGGCGTCGAAGAACGCGCCGATCTCCGGGTGGTTCGTCTTCGACAACGTCGCCGGCGCGTGCTTCGCTCCCGGGATCTCGACGACCGTCGCGGCGGCGAAGGACGCGACGAGCGACCGCGCCAGGGCCGCGGGAACCACGGGGTCGTCGGCGTGGACGACGAAGAGGCTTGGTGTTTGTAGGGGTGGGCCCGCGTCGAGGTGCTTCGCGACGCTCGGGTCCCGCGGCCGGTGCGAGCTCAGGCCCACGACGAAGCCGAGGTTCGCGAACGAGGGCAGCGCGCCGCGCTCGGCGAGGACGGCGATCATCGTCGCGAGGTTGCCTCCCTGGCTGAATCCCAGCAGCCCATCAAACCCTCCTCCCTCGAAGGTCTTCGACGCGTAGGCCAGCGTCGCGTCGAGACGATCGTAGACGCCGGCGTCGCTCGCGTTGTACCACTCGCGGTAGGCGCCGTATTCCTTCTTCGGGAAGAACTCCATGATCTGGCCGCCGGAGCCCGCGTTTTTCGGGAGGCGCATCTTCTGCTCGTCCTCCGCCGTGCACTCGTAGGGCGCATCGAGAAGAACGAAGTCGATCCACGGGAAGCGGTCCTTCCAGCCGCAGAGCTCGAGCTGGAGGTTGAAGATCTTCGCGTTGGTTCTGAAGGAGTGGAAGCACAGGACGCGCAGAGCCTTCCTCTCGTCCACCAGGGCGGCCATGCTCACGAGACTCGAGCGCTCACTTTTCCTGCGCGTCCACCATGCTCGAGTGCAATGGAGGGGCAGCTTCGTCAACCAAAACTTCACTAGCAGCAGCGTCGAGCAATGGCCTTCCGCACAGCAGCCCGGCGGACGCTCTCGTCGTCTCCGAAGCTGCATCGCTTGCGCTCCCACCAGGCGTCGCACATCGACCTGGAGGAGATCGATCGGCTGCTGTTTCGCGCATCCAGGGACCAGCTGTGGGTGCCGCCGGGCGGCCGCGGCGTCTTCGGTGGCCAGATTTTGGGGCAGGCGCTGCACGCGGCGACGCGGGCCGTCGGCGGAGGCTGGGGCGTACATTCCCTGCACGGCTACTTCCTCCAGGCGGGCAACCCGCGCCACGACGTCATCTACCGCGTGAAGGAGACGAGCGAGCGGCGGTCGTTCGCGACGCGGAGCGTCGAGGCGCTCCAGGGCGGCGACATCATCTTCAAGATGCAGACGTCCTTCTCCGTGCGCAAGCGCGACGCCGCGCCGCAGCCGTCGCACCAGGACGACATGCCCGCGGGCGTGCCGCCGCCGGAGTCGCTGCCGTCGATGCGCGAGTTCATCGAGGAGCTGCTCCCGCGGCTGCCCGAGGGCAAGGTGCGGGAGGAAGTGTTGCGACTGGCGCAGATCCCCGTGGACCTCAGGTTCGTGGACCGGCCCGATCCGCTGGACCCGGACCCGCCGAAGCAGGCGCCCGTGCGCCGCGTTCGGATCGGCGTCGTACGACGGGCACGCCTGTTGGCACGCGTACTTCGTAGGTCTGGATGCGCGTCGACAAGATCGACCGCGCGTTGAAGGAGGCGGACGGCATCGACGCCTGCTGCGCGGCCTACACGTCGGACCACGCCTTCCTCACGACGGCGCTGCTGCCCCACGGCATCCAGCTGCCGTCGCCGAAGCTCGGCGCCGTCGCGAGCCTGGACCACAGCATGTGGTTCCACGCGCCGTTTCGCGCGGACGACTGGCTCCTCTACGACATCCGGTCGCCGCGGCTCGCCAACTCGCGGGGCCTCGCCCTCGGGTCGCTCTACCAGGATGGGCAGCTCGTCGTGTCCGTCGCCCAGGAGGGGCTCCTGCGCCTCGCGCGGCCGTCGGCCCAGCGGACCGCGGCCACCTGGGCCATGCGCGCGAACAAGTTTCTCGAGAACGCCCTCGTCGCGATGAACTTTAAACGGTAGGCTGCTTCTCTCGTCGCGACGGACTTTAAGCGGGGCTAGGCTGCTGTCGGCACGCTTTCTTGTGCGCCGGCCAGGCGAGGCGCTGGTGGGCGCGGGAGCAGTACTGGCGGTCCTTGCACAGCGAGCAGGCGAGGAGCTTCCCCGCGGCGCCGCAGACGTCGCAGCGGCGCGCGCGCGGCTCCGGGGCGAAGACGTCGCGCGCCGGGGGCACGCGCAGGCCGGCCGCCCGAGCCGCGAAGGCTTTCACGGCCGCGTCGTCGGCGCCGTGGGCGATCTCGAAGAGCGGGACGTACTTGCTCGCGAACGCGAGGAGCGCCGAAACGTTCTCGAACTCCCGGGGCAGCTTCGTCAGCTCCTCGGCGGCCGTCCACGCGAGGTTCAGCGCCTCGGGCAGCGGTTCCAGCACTCTGCCGCACGCGGCGCCGTCGGGGCAATCCGCCGCGATGCTCTCGCAGACCGCGCTCGCCTCGAGCATGGCCCGGCAGCACGCGTACCGCGCTTCGTTCGCGGTCCCTTTCGGCGGCGGCGGGCCCGAATCCGACGGCGCGTAGTCCTCGAGCGCCTCGCAGGTCCAGAAGTGGATCTGCGCCAGGGAATGGAGCGCGTCGGCGACGAGCGCGTGCGCCGGAGACAGCGCGTAGGCCGCGCGCCTCGCGAGCTCCGCGTAGGGCTCGGGCTCGCCGTCCGGCGACGTCCACCAGGCGCCGCCGGGATTCTCCGACAGCGTCGCGAGCTTCGCGGCCGCCGCCTCGACGTCGGCGCGGATCGCCGCCTCCGCGGGGAGCCGCTCGGCGACGTCGCCGCCGACCCAGACGCCGTCGGCCCGCGGCCGGGCGACGCCGCCGCCGCGGCCCAGGAGCGCGCGGCACGGGTCCGGCCCCGCGCAGTGGTCGCAGCGGCACGTGAAGAAGTAGCGCTGCTTGAGCGTCGCGCGCCGCTCCTCGCGCCGCTGGCGCCACGCGTCGTGGCCGACGTAGGAGAAGGTCACCTGCTCGCCGGCCTTGATCGGCCGGATGCAGCGGTAGTTGAGGCGCGCGCCGCGCGTCGCGAACGTCGCGTTCGGCGCGCAGCTGTGCGACACCTTCGACGCGACGTGGAAGAGGGCGCCGCGCTCGCCGCCCGTCGCGTCGCGCGTCTCGTGCGCGTTCGTCGTGTGGATGAGCACGAGGCGGTGCGCGAGGCCGAGGTCGAACTCCGGCCGCGCGCGCGCGAGCTCCGCGGCGAGCTGGCGCGCCGTCTGGGTCGACGCGTCGGTCCCGTCGAGCGGCGGCGCCCACATCTCGAGGATGAGATCCTTCGACGCGTCCGGCGCCGCGGCGAAGGCGTCCAGGTACTCGTAGAAGTCGCCCGTCGACAGGTCCCGCGACCGGCGCCACGTCATGAGCGGCGCCTCGTCGAGCACGAGGTCGCCGGGCGCGAAGTCGCGCGCCGCGACGAGGATGTGGCCAAAGTACGCGTCGTGGCCGATGGCGACGCCCGCGCCCGCGGGCTCAAAGGGGAAGACGCGGCGCTCCGACGACGACGGCGCGGCCGCGGGCTCCGGGGCTGGCGGCGGCGCGGCGACGGCGCGCGTCTTCGGTTTTGCGATCGCGAGCATAGCGCGCGACTCGACGTCTCCGGAGATTGGCGCGCCATCGCTCTGGAGCTCGAAGCGGTCGCCATCGATCCCAAAGTGCGTGCAGCATTTCTCCCAGAGGCGCGCGGCCGACAGCGGCTTCCTCTTCGGCAGCGCGACCTTCAGGCTGCGGTCCTCGAACGTGACGATGGCGGCGCCTTCCATCCCTTGCTGTCGACCTTGGAGATGGCGGCGCCTTCCATCAAGACTCCATGCTTCAGAGGGGGCTGCCGGCCTTGGGAGACGTTGGAGGGACCCACTGGTGGCGCACGGCACGCGTCCGACGACGCCCCGGTCGCGACGCCGCATGGGTCCATGGGAATTAAAGGAAGTACTCGCGCTGCATGCGCTGGCGGCCGATGCAGCCGGAGCAGCGGCGGTTCGGCGGGTTGGCGACGGGGTTCTGGAGGGCGCCCCCGGCCGGCCCCGGTTTGACCTCGCCGTCCGTCGCGTAGTACATGAAGGCGGCGTCCTCGGTCCAGTCGAGGATGTCCGGCGGCTCGGGCACGTGGCCCGCGTTGAGCTCCGCGACGATGGCGTCGACGCGGTCCCGCGAGACGGTCTCCGGGGCCGCGGGCGCGCGGCGCGCGGTCGTCGGCGCCGTCGGCGCGTCGTCGGCGTCGGGCACGGTGATGCCCTCGAGCTCCGCGGCGCCCCCGAGGTCGACGAGCGCGACGCCCGCCTCGAGCTCGCCGGCGCCGACGTCCGCGTCGAAGGCCGCGACGGCGCCGGCGCCGAGCTCCGCGCGCGCCTCGTCGACGGAGTAGACCGCGGCGCGCGACGCCGTCTTCCGCTTGAGCAGCGGGCCGAGCGCGAGCCACGACTGCGCGAGCCAGCCCGGCGCGCCGACGACCTCGATGCGCGCGAGCCGCGCCGGGTAGACGCCCACGAGCGCGTCGAGGAAGGCCTGGATGCGCCGGGGCCGCAGGTGGCGCTGGGGCGCCGCGCGCCGCGCGTCGACCTGGAGCACGAGGCCGTGCTGCACGGCCTCGCGGCCCCGGCCGAGCGCGGCGTCGACGACCGACCACACGCGCCCCAGGAGCGGCGCCATCTTCCCCGGCGCGTCGAGCAGGTCGTCGCCGAGGTCCAGGCGCGCGAGGTCGAGGAGCAGCCGCGGCCGGCCCTTGGCGTCGCGCGCGTCGTCGCAGAGGAGCCGGAGGAAGCCGTCGTCGCCGTCGCACGCGTCGAGGCGCTCGGCGCCGAACGTGGCCACGCGGCACTTCCAGTAGTCCCGGTAGAGCCGCGCCGCCTCGGCGACGTCGTGCTTCCGCGCCCCGAGGAAGCGCATGAGCCGCTCGTCGGACATGGGCTCGAGGAGGCGCCCGCCGTTCGTCGGGATGATGACCGTGTCGATGTTCTCCCGGAGCTTCGCGAGGAGCTGCGCCTCCCGCGCCTCCGACGGCCAGGGCGCCTCCTCGTCCCCCCCGTCGACGACGCGCGTGAACGACGCCATGTTCGCGCTGTGTCCAGACGCGACGGGACTTCGTTGCGGCGCCCGGGGCTGCCCGGCCAATGATGAAGCAAACGTTAAACCCCCCAACATTCGGCAGACCACGCATTCCTGGTGTCGACCAAATTTATTCGTCCACCGGCGACGCGGGCTTTGACTGCGACGACGCGCGGCGAACCAAATACGATGGCTGCGCGGGCGTTCCTCCTGGCCCTCGCCCTCGGCGGCGCGCGCGCGCAGGACGTGGAGATCGAGGTGCGCCGCGCTCCCCGAAACCCGCGCTGCCCCCGCGGCCCCGCCCCGAATGTTACCCTCCGCGCGGGGGAAGGCTGCCCCATGTCCGGGGGCGGGCGCGGCGTCCCCGGGGCCCGGGGCGCGGGGCGCGCGGGGCGCGGAACACGCGCGAGGACCCCCGCGCCTTCGTAGGCCGTGCCCGACGTCGAGGTCATCCAGCGGCCGCAGCTGCTCTACTCGTCGATCTCGCCGAAGCTCCGGATCCAGGGCAAGGGCTTCGGCAAGGTCGCGGGCGACGTGCACGCGGCGTTCATCCCGCCCCTCGAGAAGAAGGGCAAGCGCTTCTACAACCTGACCGTGACGGACACGGTGCTGTCCATCGGCCTGAAGAAGGGCTTCCAGTGGCCGCAGTCGTCGACGGGCGAGACGAGCACGCTCTTCCTCCAGTCGCTCGTCGTCGACGCCCACGGGTCGCAGAACCAGCTGCCGAACCCCGTGCCCGTGGCGTCCATCATCCCGCCGCCGTCCGTCGTCCGCGGCGAGGACAAGCTCGTCTACATGACGGGCACGAACCGGTTCCTCATCAACGGCACGGGCTTCCGCGAGGGCTCCATGTCGCTGACCTTCGACCCGCCCCTGATCCGCGACGTGGACTACGTGCTCGCCGTGCGGTCGCCGACGTGCATGCAGCTCGTGCTGAAGACGGGCCGCAAGTGGCGCAGCGACGGCGAGCCGGGCCCGCTCCGGCTCCGGCGCATCGACTCCGGCGCGGGCGCGCTCCGCATCGACCCCAAGTTCGGCGGCGTCATCGTCGCCGAGGTCCAGGTGGACCTGGGCGGCCACGGCGTCATCGCGTCGCCGTCGCCCCAGACGCTCCTCTACCAGAACGCGCCGAGCCTCGTCATCAAGGGCAGCGGCTTCGCGCACGTCAACGAGGTCGCGAACTTCGGGTCCCCGCGGCTCCGCTGGGGCAACGGCCTTCTGGGCCGCGGCGTCAACTACACCGTGTCCACCTTCGACGACAACAAGGTCGAGCTCGTGCTCAAGCCGGGCTCCGTCTGGCGCCGCAACGGCGCGAACCTGCCCGCGCCGCTCACGCTTTTAGCGGCCGACGTCGGCTCGGGCCTCGTGGCCATGGGCGCGACGGAGGCGCGCAAGGGCGTGCGCGTCGCCACGGTCTTCGAGGCGCCGAAGATCAACCCGCAGCCCCTGACGTCGCTCTTCCGCACGCACAGCGCGCAGCTCTGGATCACGGGCGTGGGCTTCACGCGGCCGGGCTCCGTCGGCGGCGGTTTCGGCGGCGAGATGAAGCTCGACTTCGAGCCCGAGCTCAAGGTCGGCCAGGACTACACGCTCACGGTCTTCAACCGCACGCACCTCCTCGTGCGGCTCCGCGAGGGCCGCGCCTGGGCCGCGGCGCCGGGCCCGCTCTACGTCGTCGGCTGCGACGCGGGCGCGGGGCCCTACGAGGCCTTCAAGCCCGCGGCCGTGGCCCACATTTTGCCCGACGCCGACTCCCACCCGTCGGGCGTCGAGGTCACGCGGACGAACTCCCAGGTGCTCTACCAGACGCCGGCGATCCGCCACCTCGAGATCCACGGCTCGAGCCTGTCCATGGAGGCGAAGCTCGTGTTCAGCCCGCCGCTCTACAAGAACGTCGACTACAAGGTGCTCCGCGCGACGTCGGATTTGATGGTGTTGGGCCTCCTCGCGGGCAAGACCTGGCGCCAGACGGCGGGCCACCTCATGCTCATGTCCATCGACACGGGCGACGGCGCCGTGGAGATGGCGCACGGCACGGGCATCGTCGTCGCCGACGTCGCCGCGAACCCGACCGTGGCCACGTCCACGGCGCGCATCACGGCCTCCACGACGCGCCGCCTCTCCATCTACGGCACGGGCTTCTCCATCGACGGCACGGAGCTCACGCTCGAGCCGACGTCGCGGTCCGCGTACGACGTCGAGGCGGTCTACGAGAACGAGGTCGTGCTCCGGCTCCGCGAGGGCAAGACCTGGGGGTCCCTGGGCTCCGCCGAGTCCATGCCCCTCGTGGTGACCAAGATCGACACGGCCGCCGGCGAGTACATCTTCCAGGACACCTACGGCAAGCCCCAGCCTGTTGTTGTGGCGTTGATCGTCCCTGATTCAGCTGCCACCACCAAGGGCGGCGACGTCATGCGCTGCGACGACACGTGCATGTGGGCCAACGACGGCGTCTGCGACGACGGCTCCAAGGGCCGGGGCAAGGACGGCGACGCCCGCGACGGCGCCTGGTGGGAGGACGACGACCTCGGGGGCTGGTACAGCGACGAGCGCGAGGACACGGACGAGTTCGACCAGTACGACTACGGCTACATGTACGACGACTCCTACGGCTACTACGGCGACGACGCCGCCATGCCCGCCTGCATCGCCGGCACGGACTGCACGGACTGCGGCGGGCCCCTCGAGTTCATGGCCGAGGACGACGACGCGGACGCGGACGCGGGCGACTGGGACGACGACGAGTGGTTCGACGACGACACGGAGGAGTGGTGGGACGACGACTACGACTTCGGCGAGGAGTGGGACGGCTTCGAGGACGACGAGAAGGACGGCGACGGGCCCATCGGCATCATCTCCTCCGTCCAGCCCTCGAAGAAGCCGAACAAGCGACACATGACCAAGGAGCAGCGCGAGGCCCTCAAGCACGGCTCCGGGGGCTTCTTCGACGTCGCGGCGCACCCCGCGGCGGCGGCGGGCGCGGCCCTCGCGGCCCTGGTCCTCGCCGCCGTCGGCTGCCTCTCCTTCTGCAAGAAGGAGGAGGGCCTCCCGACGGAGAACCCGTGCCTCGGCGGCAAGCGCAAGCAGGCCCAGGCGTGAGCGGCGCCCCCCTCCACAAAAAAAAAACATCAAAAGCAAAAAAAAAACATCCCGCAATCTCACCGAGCCGCCCCCCGCCGCCCGCGGACGAACGCGCGGCCCCCGCCGCCCCGCGCTTCCCCGAACCTCACCCGAGAACTATAGCTTGTTGCACCGACGTTACCGGCGCGGGGGCTCCTGCGGCTTTTTCGGCGGCTGCTGCGGCCGCTGCTGCGCCGCGTAGGCCTGCTGCTGCGCCGCGTAGGCCTGGGCCTGCTGCATCATCATCATCTGCTGCTGCTGCGCGTAGAGCAGCTGCTGCTGCCGCGCGGCGGCCTGCTGGTAGGCGGCCATCTGCGCCGCCTGGAGCTGCATCTGCTGCTGCTGGGCCGCGTAGGCGACCTGCGCCTCGCGCTGCTTCGCCTCGGAGCCGGGCGCCGCGCGCGTCGCGTGCGCGAGGTCGTTGATCTTCCGCGTCGGCGGCGCCGCGGGCCCGTCCTTGAGCCCCAGGCCGCCCGCGAGGTCCACGAGGCCGTCGAAGTCCGACGGCGCGATGTGCGCGTCCTCGTCGGGCTCGTAGTGCTTCGTGCGGTTGATGGAGTGGGGGTCCCAGCCGGGCGCGCGGTCCGTCGACGACCGCGGCACGGACCGGCGCCGGTTCCGGCTCCGCGTCGTCGTCGAGCTCGCGTCGCTCGGCGTCGGCGAGCCGTCGCGCGGCGTCGACGCGAGGGACGCGCCGGAGCCGCGCCGCGGCGGCGGCGGCGGCTTCCACTTCTTGGCCGGCGTCGGCGCGTCGTCGGACGTCAGCGAGCTCACGGACGGCAGCCGCGGCGGCGGCGGCGCGGGCTTGGGCGGCTTTCCGGTGGGACGGACGTCCACGCGCGCGGACGGCGCGCCCCCGAAGGCCGCGGCGCCGTCGTCGATGGCGTCGTGCATGCCCGGGAGCGCCGTGCCGCCGCGCGGCGCGACGCCCGCGGACTTGGCGGAGATGCCCTGGCGGAAGCCCTGCTTCCACAGCGTCACGGCCGTGTAGGACTCCTTCTTGGCCTCCTCCGGGTCGATCTCGGGCTCCGTGACGTCGCCGAAGGCCGACGCGAGCGACGGGTCGAAGGACCGCGCCGGCGAGGGCGCGCGGCGGAGCGACGACGGGCCCGCGGCCGCCGCGGCCGCCGCGACGCGCGCGCCGGCGCCGCCGCGGCCGCCGGCCGCGCCGGGGTCGCCCCAGGACCGCGCCGGCGCCGGCGGCGGGGCCGCCGCGCGCGCGAGGTCCCGCTCGGCGGCCCTGAGCCGCTCCTCGAGGACCCGCGCCTTGGCCTCGGCCTCCGTCGCCTTGAGCCGCTCCTCGAGCACCTTGACGCGCGCCTCGGCCGCGGGGCCCTGCGCCGGGTCCGGCCCGAGCAGCGCGTCGACGGCGGCGTCGAGGTCCGGCTGCGCGAGGAGCCACTCGGCTGCGCGGTCCTTGTCGCCGCGGCACGCGCGGAGCGCGGCGCCGGCCTGGCGCCGCGTGAAGCCGAGCGCGGCGACCTCCGAGACGGGGTCCGCGCGCGGCGGCGGCGCCTGCTGGGCCTTCTGCGCGGCGAGCTGCTGCGGCGGCGCGGCGGCCCGCGGCGCCTGCTGGGCCCGCTGGGCCTGCTGGGCCTTCTGCGCCTGCTGGGCCGCGAGCTGCTGGGCCTGCTGGGCCGCGAGCTGCTGGGCCTGCTGCTCCGCGAGCCGTTTCACCGCCTCGGCCTGCTGCGCGGCGAGCTGCTGCTGCTGCTGCGCGGCGAGCTGCTGCGCGTAGGCGGCCATCTGCTGCTGCTGCTGCTGCTGCACGAGGTACATGCGTTGCTGCATCTGCGCCTGCTGCTGCTTCCACTGCGCGTCCCGCTGCGTCGCCGCCGCCTCGGCCGCGGGCGCGGCCGCGGCCGCGGGCGCCTTCGCGGCCGCGGCCGGGTCGTCCCAGGTCACCTCGTTCGTGTCGCGGTTCCACCAGTAGGGATCGCCGCTCTCCTTGTCGGTCTCCCGGGACCAGGGGCCCGCGTCCGGCGACGGCTTCGAGCGCAGGGCCCCCGGGGCCGGCGACGCGGCGGCGGCGCCGCCGAGGCGCGCGGCGGCGACGGGCGCCGCGGCGGCGGCGAGGGCGGGCGCCGCGAGGGCGGGCGCCGCCGCCGCGGGCACGTTCGCCGCCGCCGGGTCCTCCCAGGTCACCTCGTTCGTCTCCTGGTTCCACCAGTAGGTGTCGCCGCTCTCCTTGTCGATCTCCGCGCTCCAGGGGCCCGACGCCTCGGCGCGGCCGTTCGGCGTCGCGGCGGCCGCCGGCGCCGGCGGCGTCGCGGCGAAGGCGTGCGCGCGGCGACCGCGGGCGACGACGACGGCGGCTTCGAGCTAAAGGCCGGCGCCTACGGGTGCGAGAAACGTCGAGAAACTCTCCGGCGAAAAACAGACGATTGGACGCCGGATCGCGCGGCCATGCGCCGCGGGGGCGGAACGCCTTCCATCTTGGTCTCCTCCGTCATCGCCGCGCGACGGGGGATGCGTGTGTGTACCAAATCGGGCGAAAGGTTCACGACCGTCGACGGCGGACGAGGCTTTGGGCGACCACAGATGCGGCCTCGGTTTTGGTGCCGCTCGAGGTGAAGCTGCCCTTGATGCTCGGCCGAGCTCGGGGATCGGCAGCCCGCGCCGGCGGAGAGCGGCAGCCGGCGTCGACGATGAAGCGGCGTCGATCGTCTGAGGCCTTCCCTCCTCTAGAGCTTGTGCGTTCACTGCTCGCTGCGGGCTGCGCCTTCGACGAGGACGCGCACCAGCTGCTCGCGTGCCGCGCGCTCAATGGGCTGGTGGTGGAGCTCGGCAATGGGCGGTCGTCGGCGCTGGAGGAGATCGCCGAACTGATCGAGACGCCGGCGGCCGCCGGCGTGACCTACGACCGGCCCAACGAGAAGCTGTCGGGCGCGCCCCTCTACCTGTGCGCGCAGCTCGACTGCCCGGAGGCCGCCCGGCTGCTGTTGGATCGCGGCGCGAGCATGACCCAGCCCTTCGACGGCGAAAGTCCGCTGGAGGCGGCGTGCCGCCTAAACAGCACGAAGACCTTGGCGCTCTTCCTCGCCCGCGTGCGCGAGCTGGAGGAGGCCGCCCGGTCCAAGGCCGGGACGACGGCGGCGTCCGCGTCCGACGACGACGAACCGCCGGCCTACGCGCCCGAGGACGAGGACGAGGAGCGCGGCGACGAGGAGCCCGCCGCCGCGCCGCCGCCGCGCCCGCAGCTCCGGCGCCAGTGGACGCACACGCTCGACGGCGACGTCGCGGAGGACCGGATCCACCGGCGCGGCGAGCACCGACCCCTGGAGCAGGTCGCCAAGCGGGTCCGCGCGTCCGCGGGCTGGATCGCCGCCGCGGCCCACGACCACCTCCGGCCCAGCGCGTAAGAGAGGGAACTGCACTGCTCAGGCGTCTGCTCTAGAGCCGCGCCAGAGGCCTCCGTGGGTCGGAGGCTCGCCGAAAGTGCGCAAATCACAAGCTTCTCTTAGCACGCGCCGACCTGCGACGACGCGCCACGCCAACCGACGCGCCGCGCCGACCGCCCACCGGACTCGCCATGCTTCGCCGCGCACTCTTGCTCACCGCTTCGGTCATCCGCCCCGCCGCCGGCTTCCAGGGATCTTTCAAGCATACCTCGACGGTGCTGCGCAAGGCCGGCGGCGGCCTGAACGGTGATTTCGCCGATAAGTCGTCATTTCATACCTCGACGGTGCTGAGCAAGGCCGAAGAAAAGCTAGACGGTGATGTCGCCGATGACAAAGCGGTGCGTACCCTTCCTTGAGACCTCTCCGGCAGACCGCCGCGCGCGTTTTCCGCGGCATCGCTCGCGGCGCGCGAACGCGCGCGCATCCCCTCGCGTCGGCCGTCACGTCGAACACGCGCGTATCCCCTCGCGTCGGCGCGCGTCGAGCGAAGGCACGCGTAGGCCGTCGACGACCTCATCAAGCGCTGGAGCGCGTCGAAGGACGGGACCTTCTTCGAGGAGAACGGCACGGCCGACTTCCAGTTCGTGCGCCCGTCGGGCAACCCGCTGTCCAAGAGCGACTACAAGGCGTTCGTCGGCGGCGACGTGAAGATCACGGACATCGAGATGGTCAAAGTCAACAAGGTCGACGTCGGCGCGGACATGGCCTTCGCCTGCGTGACCCAATCCGCGACGTTCACGTACCAGGGCGAGCCCAACGACGACGTCTTCGTCGTGTCGCTCGTCATGAAGAAGGTCGAGGGCAAGTGGCTCGTGTCCTGGTGTCACCGTAGCACGGGCCGCAAGCCGGACGAGGACAAGCCGGTGTTCGTCTTCGCGTAGACGCGCGAAACCGCCGGTCGAGCACACGCGCAACAAGGGCCGCGTCGCGCGAACGAACTAACCTCGCTGATGAACACGGGTACCACTCTGGACGGGTCCGCCCGCTCCGCCGTTTCGGTGGGCGAGGCCTCGGAGCAGCGGGAGAGGCTGGCGGCTCGCGGAGAGGTCGAGGAGAGAAAATCTCGAGCTCGAGTTGTTGCCTCTCGATCGCCTACTGCACCGCCGTCTCCGACGCGTCGTCGCCGTGCAAAACATCTGAAATATGTCGCGCGCCGAAGGCTCGAGCCCGTCCATCACCGCCGGCGACGTCGCGGCCGCCCAGAAGGAGTGGAGCGACCGCCTCATCGCCATCGGCAAGACTTTCAGCGACGGCGGCGACTACAAGGCCGTCGCCCAGGCCACGCTCGACGCCCTCTACGGCTACGCGTCGGGCTTCGACGTGCTCTTCAAGCCGACGAAGGCCGCCGACAAGGCCATCCGCCTCACGGAGGCCGAGGCCGCGTCGTACTTCGTCGGCGACGGCTGCTGCGCCGAGGACAAGGGCTTCGCGCTCGCGCCCTACACGGCCGTCAAGTGGGACAACAAGGGCGCGATCTTCCACGGCGACTCGGCGACCGCCATGGGCGAGTACACGTTCACGGACGCCGCCGGCGGCGAGACCAAGGCCGAGTACACGTTCCAGTACGCAAAGGCCGCCGGCGGCTCCCTGAAGATCGTCGTCCACCACAGCAGCCTGCCGTACAAGAAGTGAGCGGGTGGATTTCGCCGGTCTACCGCCTCGGCGGCATCAACTCCGGCGAGGCCGAGTGCTTCGCGCCGCGCCGCGTCGAGGTCCGCGAACTCGGCGGGCGCCTCCGGACGGCGACCTCCTCGAGAAGTTCCACGCCGTGGACCACGGCGCGCGACACGATCCCTCCCCCTCAAGTGTAATTCAGATGCAAAACCCCCCCCCCCTCAAAAATTGAGGTGTTACTGCGGCGGCCGGGACGGCGTCATGGTCGGCTTCGGGGTGCGGCAGACGGGGCACTCGGCCTTGGCGCCCATCATCGCGAAGAAGGACGCGCAGTCGCCGCAGATGACCTTGCCGCAGCAGGGGAGCGTGCTCCGCGGCTCGGTCGCGTCCCAGGCCTCGGTGCAGACGGGGCACTTGCCCGAGACCTCGAGGGCGGCGGGCTTGGCCTCCTCGACGCGGTCGAGCACGTTCTCGGCCTTGCTCAGGCGGCCAAAGTCCTCGCGCGCGGCCTCGTCGACGCTCCTGAGCAGCCCGCTCGACGTCTTGCTCAGGCTCCGCGCCATGGACCGGTCGTCGTCGAAGACCTGGCTCGCCGTCTTCAGGAGGCCCGACGACGTCTTGGACAGCGTGCGCGCCATGGACCGGTCGTCGTCGAAGACCTGGCTCGCCGTCGGCAGGAGGCCCGACGACGTCTTGGACAGGCTCCGGCCGAGGGGCCGCGCGGGCGGGTTCACGCGCGCGGGCGCGAGGCCGTCGTCGTCGTCCGTGCTGTCGTCGCCGTCGGCGAAGACGCCGACCTGGTCCGCGTTGGGCAGGAACCCGCTCGCCGTCCGGCTCAGGCTCCGGTGCGGCAGGCCCCGGTGCCGCGGCGGCGCGCCCGGCGCGTCGCGGCGATCCGGCGCGCCGTCGTCGTGGCGGCAGTGGAGCCCCGGGAACGCGTGGAAGCAGCGCAGGCGCCCGTCGTCGGCGCCCAAAAACGCCTCGAGCCGCGCGTCGCCCGTCGACCGGCGGCGGCACGTGAGGTGCGCCCGCTTGAAGTCCGCGAGCGCCTCGAGCCCGCCGACGGCGGCCCAGAGCGCGTCGACCTCGAAGCGGCCCAGGTCGCGCCAGTCGCCCTCGCGCGGGATGCCCGCGAGGTCCGCGGGCCCGACGCTGGTGCGGCGCAGCGTGCGCACCGCGAGGCCGCAGCGCTGCATGAAGAGGCGCTTGATGACGTGGTTCGCGCCGCTCGACAGCGTCACGTCGACGTGGTGGCGCGACTTGGCCGCGCAGCCCGGCGGCCGCGTGTCGTCGCCGATGTCGTAGGAGCCCGCGGCTTCGACCGCGTCGAACTTGACCGAGAGGGGCGCCGCGGCCTCGTGGCTCCGCCGCGCCGCGTTGCGCTCGGCCCGGTTCACGCCGAGCGGCGCGGGCGTCGTGAGCGCGTCGACCTGGTCCGGCGTCGGCAGCCGCGCGCCGCGGGGCGCGTCGAAGCCGACGCGGTAGACCTTGGCCGCGCGGCCCGGCGCGCAGAGCAGCCGCGACAGCTCGCCGTCGTCCGTGAAGAGCAGGAGGCCCGTCGTCATGACGTCGAGCTGGCCGACGGGCATGAGCGTGTCCCCGCCGAAGGACGCGGCGGCCGCGCGCATCTTCGACCCGAACTCCTCGCCGACGTCCGTCGCCATCTTCGCGGGCTTGTGGTACGCGACGACGCGCGACCGGCGCCGCGGCGGCGCGGCCGCCGGCAGGCGCGCGCCGCCGACCTCGACGCGGTCCGTCGCCGGGAAGACGAGCGCGCCGGGGTCCTCGACGGCGCGGCCGTCGACGCGCACGCCGCGCTGGAGCGCTTGTTCCCAGCCGAGGCCGTCGAGGCAGTCGGCGACGTAGCGGTCGAGCGCGCGCGGGAGGGTTGCGAGCGTTTGGGCGGCCTGCTGTTCTACTAGTTCTGACATCTTGCGTGTCGCTCCCCGATGCGGCTGCGCGGCCGACCAAACCGCGGCAGTCCGTCGCTTGAAGAGGTGAGGGGGAAGTTTCCTGTGGCAGAATTCATCAATCAGCGAGCTCGACGTTGAAGCATCGTATGCGCGCCTCGTTCATCACACCAGCTCTGCGCTCCTGAACACGACCGCCGCGCTCTAAGTTGAAGCATCGTATGCGCGCCTCGTTTGTCACAGCAGCGGCGCTCGTGACAGCGGCAAGTGCGATGAGCAGCCTCGCGACCGGCCCGAGCGCCGCCGCGCGCCGCTTCTTGCTCGCGCGCCACGGCGAGACGAATTTCAACGCCGAGGGCCGCATCCAGGGCACGCTCGACAGCAGCCAGCTGACCCTGCGCGGCATCGGGCAGGCCGCCGGGCTCGGCCACTACGTCGCGACGCACGAGGCCGCGCGCGTCGCCCGCGTGTGGGTGTCGCCGATGACGCGCGCGCGGCAGACGCTCGCGGCCGTCGAGGGCGCGTGCGACGCCGCGGGCGCCGCGCTGCCGGCGCTCAACGTGCGCGACGACCTGCGCGAGATCGAGCTCTACCACTGGGAGGGCCGCCTCAAGACGGAGATCGCCTACGAGGAGGAGGAGGGCTGGAAGCAGTGGAAGAGCGACCCGACGAAGTACGTCACGCCGGCCGGCGAGACGCCGCTGCCCACGCTCTGGGGGCGGGCCGTGTCCAACTGGGACGCGCTGCGCGCGGACGCCACGGGCGACGGCGCCACGCTCATCGTCGCGCACGGCGCCGTCGGCCGCTGCATGGTCGCCGCGGCGCTCGGCTGCGGCATGGAGTCGTTCAAGAACGAAAAGTTCCAGTTCGACAACTGCTGGTGCGCCGAGCTCGCCTGGGAGCCCGACGCGCCGACAGCGTCGCACTGGCGCTGGCTCTACAAGGCGAAGGGCCCCTGGGAGTCGGGAGAGGACGCGAGGCGCGACGCCGCGGCGGGGCGAAGAGGGGCGACGGCGGGGATTATCGCGTAACCATGGGGTAGCAAGTAGCGGTTAGTTGTCGAGGTCCCTGGTAGAGATTAGTGGCCGCTAGGCCTCGACCTTCAAAGAGTCAAGTTGCAGTGCACAGTAGTAGGGGCGGACAGTGAAGCCCGGGCGCTTCGGGGCCACTTCGGCTGGGTCCGGTTCCCTGGATGGGTCGGGAGCAGTGCACCGAGATGCTGGTTTTGTACAAGGACCTAATTTGGGTATGTTGCGTGAGGCCCGGCCTCACGCATCTCCGCCGAGTTTCGTGGTTGTACAAAATCAGGAACCCCCGGCAACGCGAATGCATGGTGCCGACAGCACTGGTGGCGGCCCTCGACAAAGCGCTTCGGGACGTCGCGGGCCGACGCCAGGCGCCTCCCGTCGGCGCGGAATCGCGTCGCCGCGCGTTCGGAACCGTTCCTGCGTGCCCTGCGCCGCTACTCTGAATCGCAGAGCCTTCGGCGCTGCTCGTGCGCGCCTGGAGCGCCCGCTCTGGTGAGGCTTCGGTGAGGCACTGGAACTAGATCGCTTCGCTGGGCGCTGCTGGGCGTCGCGCCGACGTGTCGAGTGTTCAGTGCACTCCCAGGTCGACCTACGAGGCGCGGGAACACGCGCTGCGCCTACCGCTCATGGCGTCTGCGCTGGCACAGGCGCGAGACGGGATTGGCGTTTCTCGCCTGGAAACGAGGCGATGGGCCACAACGCGTCCTCGCGGACTACAGGCGTCGGACGGCTGCGCGATGGGTTCCGACGACATGTATATCGACTCGAGTGCGCCCACGCCAGCCCAAAGTCGCCGGAGCGCCTCGTACACGCGACCGCGTTTTGCCCGCGCGGGAGGAAAACCGAGACTTTGCGAGGTCGTAGCTCCGCGGGATCGAGGTCGATTTACGCGAACCCAGACTCTCTAAGTATCAGTTAGAATTCGGCTATCCATCGCAAGTGACCGCAAGGTCGAACTCGACGGTCCACGGCCGGCCGACTTTCACTGTCCGCCCCTAACAGTAGGGTTAGGGTCACGAGGTCTGATGTTGTCATACGCACTTGCTCGCACTCGGCTGATTGCCGAATAGAGGCTTCTGCGTACAACGTGCGCACGCCATGCGCGCCCCCACGCGCCCCATGGCCCGCGTCGCGCTCCTCGCGCTCCTCACGACACAACTCACGCTCGGCTATGCGCCGCCCAAAGCGCCCGCCGCGTCCCGCGCGCCGACGACGACGAACGCGATGCCGCGGGGCGGGCCGCCCCTCGACGCCGACCGCAAGATGCGCTCGCCCGGGATGCAGCACAACTTCTACGAGACGTCGACCTCCGACTTCAAGCGGCCGTACGGCGCGCCGCCCGGCGCCCCCGTCGGACCGGGCCCCGACGCCGGGCCGTACGTGGGCGGGTCGCCGCCGCCCTCCGCCGCCGAGCGGGCCAAGAAGGCGAGTGCCGCCGAAGCGCGCGTCGCCGCCGTCGCGACGGGCGCCGCCGCCGCCAAGGAAAAGGGGTTGCGGCGCGCCAACGCGCTGTACGAGGTGGGCGAGGAGACGCCGATGCCGGGGCGCGAGAAGGAGTACGAGGCGTACATGCAGTCGTACACGGGCAACTTGCCCAACGCGGGCGGGGAAGGGACGAGCTCGCCGCAGCCCGCGGTCGACGAGGATCGCCGCAATCGCTCGCCCGGCCTGCAGCAGAACTTCTACGAGACGTCGACCGCCGACTTCAAGCGGCCGTACGGCGCGCCGCGCGGCGCCGCGCCGCCGCCCCCCAACGGGGGCGGCTCCGGCCAGCAGCCATCCTACAACCAGCAGCCGTCCTACGGCCAGCCGCCGCCCGTCGCCGCGCCGGCGCCGACGTACGCGCCGGCGCCCTCGCCGCAAGTCCTGCGCGCGCGCGCGCTCGGCGCGCGCCAGCCGCCGCCCATTCCGGGCCGCGGGCCGTTCTCGCAGCAGGGCACCCCGTCGGTGAACAACCGGCGCTTCAACCAGCCCCCGATCTACAACCAAAACACCTACGGCCAGCCGCCGACGTCGCCCCCCGGCGAGCCGTCGTACGGCCAGCGGGCGCCGTCCGGCCAGAACAACCTGGCGCGCCCGTCGCTCGGCCAGCTCATCAAGGAGTACGGCCAGAAACTGGGGCGCGAGATGTACATGGGGGGTCCGGGCAACACCGCCGCCGCCGCCGCCGGCCGCGCTCCCGACGGCCAGTACGACCGCCCCTACGACCCGCGGGCGCCGCCGCCCTACGGCCGGCAGGGGCCGGGCTACCCGGATCAGCGGGAACCCCTCTCGCTCGGCGAGCTCATCAAGGAGCACGGCCCGATCGCGGGGCGCGAGATGTACATGATGGGCCAGGGGGCCGAGCCGGCGATGGCGGGCGCCCGCGGAGCCGCGCCCCCCTGGATGCAGGGGCCGAACGGGCCCGGCCGCGGCAGCGCGACCTACCGCCAGTCGCCCTACATGCAGTCGCCCCCCTGGTTGCAGGCGCCGAATACGCCCCTCTCGCAGACCTTCCGCCAGTCGTCGTACATGCAAAACTCCGACAACCGGCGGCCGCAGCCGCGAGGCCGCCAGGAGTCCTACGGCCCGCCGCCGCCGCCGCCGCCGCCGCCCGGCGCGGGCGGCCCGTACCGCGAGGGCCCCGGCGGCGGCCGCGGCGGCCCGTACCGCGAGGGCCCGTACCGCGAGCCCTACGGCGCGGGCGGCCCGTACCGCGAGCCGCGGCCGCCGCCCATGGGCGCGGGCGGCCCGTACCGCGAGCCGCGGCCGTCCTACGTCGGCCAGCCGCCCGTCCTGCGGCCCTCCTACGACCGCGGGGCGGCCTACGGCCAGCGCGGCGACTCGCGCGACATGCGAAAGGTCGAGATGGAGCTGGCGCGCCTCCAGAAGGACTTCCCGGGCACGTCCACGCGCGTCCAGTCCCTGCTCAGCCTCATCGGCACCGGCGGCGGCGCGGGCCGGCCAGCGGCGTACCAGCAGCAGCCGCAGCCGCAGGGGAGCCGGCGCTGGTAGGCCGCCCGCTCGCCGCGCTCATCAAGGAGCGCGGCCCGCGAGCGGGGCGCGCGCTGTAAGCGGTGGCGAGGAACGGCGTGGCTAAGATTGGTGTGTGAGCTGCTCGTCTTCGGGGGCTTCGAACGGCCTCGACGGCGCGCTTTTGGACCTGGTCTACGACCGCGAGGAGCTAGCTCGAGGCCGCGCGCGCGTCGAGGACTCCATCGGCCCCGAAGGCGCGGGCTTCGGTATTGGCGGGATGGGCGCGCAACAACAATCGGGGCGCTCTACGCACAAAGCCACGTTACAGCTCCTTGCGCGCCTTCTTTGGGCTGCCGGGCCTCCGGGGCCGCGGCGTGACCCACTGGCGGCCGAGTTTTGGGATCTCGAAGTGCTCCAGGGGCATGAGCCTGCGGATGCGGTCGCCGCTCGCCTCGGACACGAGGACGGCGGGGATCTTGACCTTGCGCCAGGCCTCGGCGTCGTCCTTGGGCGCGAAGCCGCCGAGCTTGGGCGAGCCCGCGCGGCCGCACTCGAGGTCGTCGCCGCACTGGCCGTCGTCGACGAGGACGACGCCGACGGCGCCGCTCGCCTGGACGGCTAAAATCTTGTGCACGAGGGGCACGGCGCCCCGGTGGCAGATGGCGATGTTGCCGCGGACCTCCGCCGCGTTCATCGGATCCCGCGACGCGTCGTTCGGGAGCGCGTAGACGAGGTGGCTCGTGACCCTGTAGTCCCGCTCGCCCTGGAGCGCCGTCAGGCCGTCGGCAAAGCTCCCCTCGACGTGCGGGTCGGCGCAGCGCGCGCAGAACTCGACGCGCGCGAGGCTCTGCTCCTCCTTGGAGCCGCCCTGGGGCCGGTAGCGCTTGTCCACGGACGCGCCCTGGACGAGGGTCACCTTCAACTTCGGGCCGCCGTCGAGGTTCGCGAGGCACAGCGACGCGCAGAGCACGGCGAGGCGCCGCCGCATCGCCCGGATCCAACAAGAGGCAGCCCCACCTCGCACCGGCCAAAAGTTCAAAGTCAACCTGAGAGGGCTGCAACGCGACGATGGAGCGGCTTCTGGTGGCTGCCCTCGCGACTCTCGCCCTGTCCGAAGACCTGTCGAGGGACCCGCTCTGCGACGACGCCTATCCCGTGTACAACGTCGTCACCGTCGACGACTACGCGCCCGCGCCCGAGAAGGACACGATGAAAGCCGGCGACGTGCCCGAGCCGGAGGCCCCGAACGCGCACTACCTCGGCTGGCAGATCGACTCGTCGAAGGAATCGAGCATGGGCCACTGGTGCCGGCTGCAGAGGCCGCCCTTCGGCGCGTCCCGGCGTCCGCGACGCTCGCCCGGAGACGCGACCCCGTCCTAGGCGTGCACGCGCGCGCGGGCGCGCCCGCGTCCGAGGACACGCACCGCGGGAAGCCGCCGATCGAGAGCAACGCCTGCCACGTCCACGGCGACGACGGCAGGCAGGGCAAGGGATGCGCGCGCGCGGCGTCCCGATCCGGCCGCGTCCGCCGCGCGACGCTTCCCTCGCGCAGATTATTGGCCGCTGTTCAAGTACGAGACGGAGTGCGAATACTACGCCTCGAACGCGGCCTGCCACCCCCACACCTTCGAGGGCAGCGACGTCGTCTACTACATGCCCGGCAACGACATGCACCACGGCGACTACGCGCTCCCCGAGGACGGCTCCGCGCCGCCGGCCTGCTCCTAACACGCGATCAGTGGACCTTTAGCCTCGACGACCGCGGCGCGTACATGGCCGCCCCGCCGAGGAGGCCGTAGGACGACGGCGCGCGCCGCCGGCCCGGCGCGGGCGCGGGCGCCGCGGCGACGGCCTTGGCGGGCATGAGCGTGTCCGCGAAGTCGAAGGTCCGCGTGTAGCGCGGCGTCCGCACGGCCTGCGGCGGCGCGGCCGCCTCGGCCTCCCCGGCGCCGGCGCGGTCGCCGTAGTAGTCGCTCACGAGGCCCGCGTTGTTGCGGTTGTCCTGGCGCTCGTGCGACCGCGCGTCCGCGTAGTAGTCGTTGACCCAGCCCATCTCCGGCCGCGGCTCCCAGATGTGGGGCTCCGAGTTCTTGTCGCCGTAGTAGTCGTTGACGAAGGCACCGCGGAACGAGTTCGTCGCGCGAGGCCGGGCGACGTCGTCGCGGAACGCCTCGTTCGCGCGGTTGATGATGCGGTCGATGGCGCCGATGGAGCGGCCCCGCTTCGCGCCGCCGGCGGGGGAGCTCGCCATCTCGGGCGCGCGGGACTCGCTCTCGTCCTCGACGTGCCGCGACTCGAGCGCCGGCGACGCGGGGACGACGTCGATCGTCGCCAGCGGCGTCGTGAGCGTCGGGTCGAGCGGCGCGAGGCGGTTCGGGCTCGGCAGCGCCGCGGCGTCGTCCGACCTCGGCGCAGGGCTCGCCGCGCGCGCGGGAGCTGCGCTGGCGCTCGGCGGCGTGTTGGCCGCGACGTCGGCGGCTGGCTGGGCGGCCGCGGGCGTCGGCGCGACCTTTTTCGAGGGCGACGGCGCCTTCGACGACGGCGGCGACGGCAGCGGCGCCGGCGCGACGACGACGGCATGGTTCGGCGCGTCCCGGATTTTGCTCCCGCAGCCCCCCATCAGGAGGTTTTCGTCAGGAGAGCGCCGTCGTCGGGAGGCTGCCCATCCTGATCAGGAGGAGGTTTTGCTTCCACATCAACCACATCAACCTCATCAAGCTTCGTTGACCCTATGTTGCAGCTGTTTTGACCACTCATTTTGAGCAGGTCGCGACTCAGGGGTAGTTAGCTAGTACTGCATGATGTCTAGGGGTAGTCTACTGCTCCAGCCGCTGGACTCGACGCCTTCAGTGGCGGACGACGTCGTCCGAGCGTCGAGGTCGCCGAGGCTCGCCACAGCTCACGCGCGCCTTCTATCCAAATCCAAAGCAGTTTCGCGCGACGATGTCGACGTGGAGCGAGTACTTCGGGTTCTATGCTAAACCTGTGGGCTCGATTTGCTCTCCGAGGCTTCACTAATACATTACGTTACGTACGGACTAGCCCGAATCCTAGTATTCCTACGTTTCTCGAAAAAAACGGAGGTCTTTCTTTTGCCGCGGGAAATCCCATTGATTCCAGACGCTAGGCAAATAAGATTGAGTTTGACAATGGCAGGAAACTCCATACTCCGCGATTAACGTGACCAATTTCTGGATGCATATTTTTTTGCCCTGTTTAGATTTGCCCGTATTTAACACAAGCACGTCCTTGAGCATCGCTGTCTTGAACTCATCTTCGTATGCCCCTTCGAGCGCCGGGATGGACATCCGCGCGCCGGTCGCGACGAGGCCCGCGACGCGGCGGACGAAGTCGTCCGCGGTCAGTTCCGCGGCGCGGCCAGCAGGATTGCGTTTCCGCTTGATAGCTGCGGCTGCAGCACGTAGACCAGGCTTAGTAGACGGTTCACTGACGGCCGCGGCGTTACCCAGGGGCGACTTCGGCGGAACGTAAAGCACGATGTCGTGCGGAACGACCGCGACGCCGTTCACGAACTCGACCGAAATCTCCATCTCGTTCGGCCCTGCGCCGCGGTGGCGCACGGGCTCTCCGAGGCCGAGGCGATGCATGACTTCCGCGTGCGCCACGGTCACACCCCGATCGACCTCGAACGCCTTGGTGATCGGGTCTTTCATGGAGCGTCCCAGAGACCGAAGCAAGAACACGCGCTTCAGCGGTAGGCAGCTGACGATCAACTGCGCATTCTCTGCGCTGTCGAGAATTTCGAGTAGCGACGTCATTCGCGGGCACGCGCGTTCAGCGGGACGCGGACGACCCGAGACGAGCCGAATGCGATTCCTTTGTGGAGGTTCAGCGATTCATGGCTCGCCGCGCGCGCGGCGAGATCCACGCCGCGGACGACGTGGTCGAGGCGACGTAACGTGTGCGTCGACGCCGTCGTCTGCGTCCGGCCACGGACGGCGCGAGCGGGGCGGCGCACGGCGTCGCCGCGGCGGCGCCGAACCGGACGCTTCCGCTTTCACTGGCCCGCGGCGAGACGTCGCCCGCCGCCGCGGCTCCGCGCGCGGGGCCGCACGACCTCGTTCGTGGCGCCGGGCTCGCGGCGCCGCGACGCGCCCGTCGCCGCGGACGAGGCGCTCGAGGCGGCCGAACGACGTCGCGGAGCCGAACCGGCGCGTTTCCGCCGCGGCGCGCGGCGAGACGTCGATCGCCCGGCGCCGCGGCTCCCCGCGGGGCCCCACGACGTCGTCGGCGCCGCCCGCGCTCGCGAGCCGCGACGCGACCCACGCCACGGACGCCCGGTGCGCGACGAACGACGTCGCGGAGCCGAACCGGCGCGTTTCCGCCGCGGCGCGCGGCGAGACGTCGATCGCCCGGCGCCGCGGCTCCCCGCGGGGCCCCAGACGTCGTCGGCGCCGCCCGCGCTCGCGAGCCGCGACGCGACCCACGCCACGGACGCCCGGTGCGCGACGAACGACGTCGCGGAGCCGAACCGGCGCGTTTCCGCCGCGGCGCGCGGCGAGACGTCGATCGCCCGGCGCCGCGGCTCCCCGCGGGGCCCCAGACGTCGTCGGCGCCGCCCGCGCTCGCGAGCCGCGACGCGACCCACGCCACGGACGCCCGGTGCGCGACGAACGACGTCGCGGAGCCGAACCGGCGGAAACGCCGCGGCGCGCGGCGAGACGGCGATCGCCCGGCGCCGCGGCTCCCCGCGGGGCCCCAGACGTCGTTGGCGCCGCCCGCGCTCGCGGGCCGCGACGCGACCCACGCCACGGACGCCCGGTGCGCGACGAACGACGTCGCGGAGCCGAACCGGCGGAAACGCCGCGGCGCGCGGCGAGACGGCGATCGCCCGGCGCCGCGGCTCCCCGCGGGGCCCCAGACGTCGTTGGCGCCGCCCGCGCTCGCGGGCCGCGACGCGACCCACGCCACGGACGCCCGGTGCGCGACGAACGACGTCGCGGCGCCGAACCGGCGACGGCACCGGGTCTGGCACGCGTGGCGACCTCACCTCCGCTGGGAGGTATAGCAGCGGGATACTAGGTCTTATCATCCTAGGCTTCGTCCGACCCGCGGTTCTCCTTGCACGTGCGCGAGATCGGCGCCCGCGACGGTGCCGAGAATCTAACCCCCCCAAACCATCCGGTCACGAAGGCTTGCGTCGGCAGCGGCTTCGCGTGCTCGCGCGTCTCCTTGACATCGTCTAGGTCCTCGCCTCGCTGCTCTCGCCACAGCTGCGCGGCGTCCTTCGCTTCGCGCCGCCCTGCAATCCATATATTGGTGAGATAATCGGCCGTCACGTGCGGCTGCGACACGCGGTGGATCTTGGTCTTGTACGTAACGCGCAACGCCTCCGCCGTCTCCGCAAAGTTCTCGTGCCGCTTGTCCCAGGGAAGTAATGCGCCGTCCGTGTAGCGCGCGTAGTCGAAGTTCGCCGGCGGCTCCTCGTCCTCCTCGAGCGAGGCCCCCGTATTGACGTCGCGCGTGCGCACGCGGTTCGCGAAGAGGCCGTCGACGAGCGGCTGCATGGCGTCCGCCGTCGGCGGAATCCGCTCCAGGACCTCCTTGATCTTTCGCTCCTGCCAGTGCTCGCGGTCGTCCGGAGAGGCGCCGCCCGCGTAGCCGAAGATGAGCTGCCGGTCGACGGCCGTCTTGAAGAACTCGTTGTCGACGCCCCCGGAGGGGAAGTCGAGGTCGATCTGGGAGACCGAGGACTCGCCCTGGGCGATCCTGAACCCCCGGAGCTCGACGCAGAACGAGCCCGGCTCGCTGGTGACCTTGAGGTCGCTCTCTCCGTACCTCGCGAGCGACCCCGTCAGGTCCGCGACGCCCGAGAGCACGCCCGCGGCCTTGCAGTTCGCCTCGCTGTAGGCGGGCATCTTGATGACGTTGCGGATCGCGTCGGCGAAGTCGACGAGGTTGACGCGCGGAAAGGGGAATTTCATCGCGAGGGCCCCGGCGGCGACGAGGCCGCAGATGTTGACGCCGTCGTGGAAGCCGAGGTCGTCGACGGCGCGGGGCAGGAAGAAGAGGAGGCCCTCGAACTGCGGGCCGCCCTTGGCGTCGCGGCCGAGGGGGCAGACGAACAGGTGCGGGTAGTCGAGCGTGTCGGCCATCGTCGCATGCGGCTGCAGCACCTTGATCAGCAGGCAGTGCTTGATGAAGTCGTCGCTGCACATGAGCGCCGTGCGCCCGACGAGGAGCGCCCGCTGCGCGTCGACGCTGAGGTTGTGCTCCGCGGACTTGCCCCTGTTCCTGCAATTGAAGAGTCTCGTAAGTTCGGGCACCAGCGCCAGGTGCATGTAGTAGCCGAGCCTCACCTGGGACCGCGTGATCAGGTCCTTGTCGTACTCGTCCTCGATGTGGAAGCTGGGGCCGCCGTGCTCCGGGCCCTCGTCGATGCGGCGCAGGATGTAGTGGTAGAAGTGCGTGGTGCCGAAGCCGTGCCAGCCGATCCAGACCCAGCCCACCACCAAGGTTCCGCACCGCGTCTCCAGGCAAATACGCTCCCAGCCCGCCTCGCCGTCGACCGTCTGCGCGGCCACCCACTTCAGCGTGATCAAATTGTGGCACGGTATGCTTGACAGGCAGTACCGCCCGGCGTTGACCGTCAGCAACCACAGCGGGTAGTGTATCGTCATGTTGTATTGTCGCTTTCGTTTTTCGGACTGGGCCGCATCACGGACGACGATTTCATGAGACAGCGGCGCGACGCGCGACCCGCCGAACTGGAGCATCGGCAAGACCACTCTAACAGGCACTCACCATCAATTTTTTTACCGCTTCAAGCTGCCTTCACTCAAACAAGTAGATGGGCAGCCGCTGCCGAGGCCATGCCCGCGCCCTCGGCGCTCGAGGACGGAGGCCTCGCGTACCGCAACGTCCACGCCGCCGAGGCCAAGGCGCGGACGAAGGTCGTCTTCGTCGAGTCCTACGTGCCGCGCGTTTCGCAGCATCTCGAGGAGGTCGACGACGACAACTGCAGCTGCGGCCGCTGCACGTTCATGGGCGCCCAGGTGGCCCTGGGCCTGGGCTGCGCGCCGCCGCGGCTGGCGCCGAGCCAGGGCGGCCTCGCGGGCCTCGCGCTCTTCGACCCGCGCGACGGCGGCCACACGGGCCTCGCGGGCCTCGCGTCGCGGCGGCCGTTCACGGTGCTCGTGCTGCTGCGGCGCTACGGCTGCGGCGTCTGCCGGGACGCGGCGCGGGTCTACAGCGGCGCCTTCCGGCGGCGCGTCGAGGACCTCGGCGGCCAGGTCGTCGGCGTCGGCCACGGCTTCCGCGGCCTGTCCAACTTCCTCGCGGGCAAGTACTGGCGCGGCGAGCTGCTCATCGACTGCTTCCCCCGCGCGCCGCCGCCGCCCAAGGCGCCGGAGTCCACGCCGCCGAGGAGCGGCGCCTGGTCCATCGCCGAGTCGGCGGACCTCTTCCACGGCGGCGGCCGGCCCCAGGCGGGCGGCTACACGTCGCGAGCTGTGTGGAAATCAACCGCTGGTTTCGGACGTCCCGACCACACTTTGAAATTCTTGAGCTCGGTCAAATCGACGTCGATTCGGCTGATTTTTGGACGGATCGATTGCTCGCATCGGGTTCTCGAAGTCCAGCCGAAGAGCTTGCGTCAAAACATTCGAATACGCGCACATTGAAGTCGGGTTGAAGATTTGATTTCCACGCAGGTCGCTCGCGAACCTGGCCGCGCGGACCGCGGGCGCGCGCGCGGACAGCCCGCCGTCGGCCCGCGCGCTGTCGGGCGCGGCGACGCCCTTCTACTCGCCCGCGCGCACGCCCGCGCCGCCGCCGCGGGCCGGCGCGCCGCCACCGCCGCCGAGCGGCGGCCGGTCGTTCTACGGAGCGCACGGCGCGCCGGCCGCGCCCAACTTTTCCGGCGCGGCCGACGCCCACGGCGCCGTCGGCGCCCACTTCGGCGCGCGCGACGCGTCGCCCGTCGAGGCCGCGGACCCGTCCATGCTCCGGTCCATCTTGTTGGCCAAGTCGTCGACGGAGCCGACCGTCGAGGAGGGCGGGCCCTTCCTCCGGCTCGGCGGCGTCGTCGTGCTCCGCCGCGACGGCTCCGTCGCGCTCGCGCGGCTCCAGTCCAAGTTCGACGACGCGCCGCCCCTCGACGACATCCTCGACGCCATGCGGTCGCCCGTGGAGATCTCGCGCGTCGCCGGGCCGCCGCCCGCGACGACGCCGCGGAGGCCCGCGCCGGACCCGTCGCCGCCCCCCTCGCCGCCGCCCGCCTTCTCGCTCCCGCCGCTCTCGCCCGCCGACGTCCCGCCCTTGCTCCCGCTCTCGCCCGGGGAGCGCCTCCCGACCTCGCCGGGCGACGTTCCGCCGCTCCTCCCGACCTCGCCGGGCGAGCGCGACGTTACGCCGCTCCTCCCGACCGCGCCGCTCTCGCCCCCGGCGTCGCCCGCCGCCGAGACCAAGGGCGACGATGTCGTGGTGGCGGACGATGAGGACCCGCCCGTCGAGCCGGCGTCGCCCGCGGAGCCGGCGGCGCCGGCGGACCCGGCCGCCGAGGAGCGGGGCGGCGACGCGTCCGCCGAGCCGACGCCACCCGAGGAGCGGGCCGACGAGCCCGGCGAGCCCGCGCCGTCGGAGGAGACCAAGGTCGAGATGCCGCCCGCCGAGGAGGCGAAGGCGCCGCCCGCGGCGCCGGGCGTCGAAGCCGCCGTCCCTCCGGCGCAATAAGAGTGTCCGATGTCGTGTCGCGGACCTCACCTCGACGTTTCGAAGGATCAGTGTTTATAGGTGGGCATGTCGCGACGCGCTGTCGCTCGTGCCCCGGCGGCGGGCGGCGGCCCCGCTCTCGACGAGGGGGGGCGGGCGTCTAGTAGAAGAAGCCGAGGATCTTGCCGCCCGTGCGCTTGCGGCGCGCCTCCTCGTGGTCCATGATGCCGAACGTCGTCGACAGGACGAGGTGGCCGAACTGGCGCGAGGGGAGGAGGTTGTTGATCCACGACTCCATGTCCTTGATCTCGACGTCGAAACGGGGCGAGATGACGCCGCACTTGTTGATGCGGCCCGTGAGCTCGATGACGATCTTCCCGGATCGGTGGTCGTCGACGATCTCGAACTCGCCGATGTAGCCGTGCTTCTGCATGGTCTGGAGGAATTTCACGATCACCTTGGAGCACGGGCGGATGAGCACCTGGCGCTTGCCGCGCTTCTCCGCGTTCGAGATGGACTTCAAGCAGTCCGCGAGGACACTCATGCGAACCATGGTGGCGTGTGTCTGCGCGGGGGGCGGCGGGGTCGGGGACCGAGGGGGTTTGCGCGCGGAGCGGCTCTCTCTCTCGCTTCGGCGGCGGCGGCGGGCGGGCCGGCGCGCGCGGCCGGTCCGTCCGTACCCCTCTCGAGCGGTGCGGCGCGGTGAGCCGTGTTTGGCGGCCGCGCCGCTGCGGCGGCACGGGCGGCTCGAAGACCGCGGGCCGCGGGCCCCCGGCCCATCTCCGGCGACGCGGCGCCGCGGCCGTCCAGCGAGAGCGTGGCTGCTCGCCGACGTCGCGCCACCGGAGATCGCCGTGGGTGTTCGCACGCGCCGCTGTCGTCCGCACCGCGTCGTGTCCGCCGCGCCGCCGTCGTCAAGAGCCTCTCATCTCACTGTGCAATCGCCCAGACGCCGGCGCATACCTCGACAGCGAGCTTGGCGACAGCGAGCTTTTGGGGATCCCCGGCGAGAATAACTGGCCGGGCTCAAATGAGTCAAATCGGCCGCATCTGATTTGAGCCTCGTTGCGCCTCACCTCGCCTATATGTGCCATGGATTCCGCGCTACAGCATGCGCATCCAGAGCCCAAGCCACGCCGATGGGGGCGGGCCGCCGGATAGACGACCTCCGAGCACCCCCACCACCTCCCCAGCCGCGGACAAACGAAGCAAGAGGGTCGCTAAAGGGGAAACAAACGCGAGGCCGCGCGCTGGAAGGGCCCACCGGCGAAGGCGCCCGCACAAAACCGCCGCCGGCTAGCACGACGTCACGCCGAACGCGCCGCCGCCGTTCGCCGCGGGCGCGAGGAGCGGGTACCGCTTCTCGCAGAGGTCGACGATGTACTCGACCTCCTCCCAGGTCAGCCGCGCCTTCTTCGGGGCCAGGTCGCCGGACCGGCTCTTCTCGAGCTTGTGGAACGCGAACGACGCCGTCCGCGACACGTAGACGTCGCACTCGTCTTCGGTGAACGCGTGGTCGTAGATGAGCTCGAGGAGCTCGGGCAGCTTGTCGGTGGGCAGCGTCTCCGCGCCGTCGGAGAGCATGGTGAAGCGGCTCCGCAGGAGGTCCTCGCCGTCGCTGATGTTGCCGGAGCAGCAGGAGGTGGCGACGTTGAGTCCCTTCAAGACCTCCATCGCGCCGTCCCCGCCGGCGTCGGCCCGTGTCGCGCCGGCGTCGACAGCGGCGACCGCGAGCGCCCCGCGATGGGAGAGAACTGCTCTCTCGCTGCGCACCAACGACGCGGGTGGCCACACAGGCCTCTCGATTGTGTTTCTGCTGACTTGCAGGGCAACACCGGCCTCAAGGAGCCGTTGCTAGCCGCCTAAAGGAGCCGAGGGCCAGTGCGTCGGCGTGGCTAGGCGTGAATTCCATGTACGTCCTACTTTGGCGGCGCCCGCAGCGCCTCTTCGAGGCGCGTCGCGATCTCCGCGCCGAGGGCCCGGTAGCCGTCCCGCGTGAAGTGGACGCCGTCGGGCCGCGCGTACGTCGCCGGGTCCGCCGCGCAGAGCCGGTCCAGGTCGACGAGCGCGGGCGCGCTCGCGCGGATCTCATCGTTGAGCGCGAGACGCGTCGCCTCGACGCCGGCCTCGATGTCGAAGACGCGCGGGAACCGCGCCGGCAGCTCGTAGGGCGGTACCGTGACGCCGATGACGATGTTGACGCCGGCGGACCGCGCGTGCGCGTACTGGCGCTTGATGCGGTCGGCCGTGCGCTGCGCGTCGCGCTTCCAGAGGTCGTTCGTGCCGGCGAGCAGCACGGCCGCGTCCGGCGGCGGATCGCGCGAGAGCTCGCGCGCGAGCTGGCGCTCGAGGTCGCGCGCGCCCGCGCCGTCGGCCGCCGCGCAGACGACCTCGTAGTTGGACAGCAGCACGCGGCCGAGCGACGCGGCCGCGGCGTCGCGCACGGGCTCGTAGGTGCTGCGCTCGACGCGTCCGGCGAGCAGCGCGTCGCCGACGAGCACGGCCTTGAATTTCGTCGGCGCCAGCGCGGTCGCGCTGGAGCAGATGATGGCTACTTGGATGGCGCGGTGCAGCGGTCGCATCGCGGTTGTCAAAGATCTTCGAGCCATCAGCCCGATCCGAAATTCTGGTCCGGCGAGCCGTGCTGGCGCTGCGCGCAGCCCTGCGCCCAGCCGCGAGACACGTGAGCCAGACCTAGGCCTGACCCTCCGCGCAGGAACGCGGCCGGCGGCCAAGCCTGGAGAAGTTCACTCCAGATCGCGGATGGCGATGACCGGTTCTCGACGACGACCTCCGAGTCGTCGTCGGTGAGACCTTCAACGGTGGGACGAGGCTCAGGACATCGACGACGACGACGACCAGCGAACAGATGAGGCCAACGCGTCGCATGGGCAGCGTGCGACGACAGCCGGTGTGGGCCGCGGGTCGCCAATTTCCGCAGACGCCTCCGCAGCAGCAGCGGCATGGAGAGCGTCGAGCCACCCACCAATGACCAGCCACCCACCGATGACCAGCCACCTGACGCGCCCGCGCAACACAAGAAGAAGCGCAAGCGCTCGGGCAAGCGCCTGAGCAAGGCCGAGCGCCTCGCGAAGCGCGCGGCGCTCGACTCGAGCGCGCCACCCGCGGAAGCCCCAAGCGCCGCCGCGCTCGCGCAGATCGCGGAATTCGCCAAGGACCCGCAGCGCTGGGACGACGCGGAGCGCGTCGCCGCCGACGCGGACGCGGCCGACGTGGCGCACACGCTCGCGTTCCTCGGCGCGCTCTGCCGCCGGCCCGAGCTCCGGTGCCGCGCGCTCGCGCACTACGGCGCGCGCGTGCGGCCCGACGCGCGCCGCGCGGCGATCGCCGCCTCCCTGGCGCCGGCGCTCGTCGCCGAGGGCCGCTACGAGGCCGCGGCCGCCGTCGCGCGCGCGCTCGGCGCCGTCGCCGCGGCGAAGGCCGCCGCCGAGGCCGCCGTCGCCGCGGCCGCCGACGCCGGCGCGCGGCGCGCGCGCGAGGGCGCCGCCAAGGTCGCCGACGCGACGGCGGCCCACTGGGGCCTCGGCGGCGCGGCGGCGCTCGCGAACGCGCCGGGCGACGCGTCCGTCGACGGCGACCCCGAGGAGGACGACGACGACGGCTCGGACGACGGCGACGGCGACGACGCGGGGCCCGCGGCCCTCTCCCAGTTCGCGCGCATCGTCGCGCGGGACCCGGGCCTCTGCGGCGCCGTCGTCGCGGACGACCGCGCGTGGAACTTCGTCTCCCGGGAGCGGCGCCGCGCGCTGCGGATCTGCGCGCGGGCGCTCCGCGCGGCCCGGGACCGCGGCGGCGGCGGCGGCGCCGACGCCGCGGCCCTCGGCGCGGCCCTGCGCGCCGCGGCGGCCGCGCCGGCGGACCGCGCCGCGCGCGACGCCGCCGCGGCGGACGTCGCGGCCCTCGTCGAGGCGCGCGCGAGGACCGTCGACGGCGGCGCCGTCGCCGCGGCCTTCGGGTCCCTCGCGACGCGCCTCGACGACGCGGCGGCGTCGCCGGACTGCGACGTCGTCGTCTTCCTCCCCGGCGCGCCGGCCGCCGCGACGGCGACGGCGGCGGCGACGCTGGACGCGCTCGCGGCCGCGCTCCGCGCCGACGGCCGCGCCGTCGCCGCCGTCGCGCGCGCGCGCGTGCCCCTGCTCAAGTGCGTCTTCGCGGACCGCCGCGCGGACGTCGTCGTCAACAACGTCGCGGCCGCGGCGAACACGGAGCTCCTCCGGCGCCTCGGCGAACAGCTCCCGGCGCTCGCGCCGCTCGTGCGCGCCGCGCGCGTCTTCGCGCGGTCCCGCGGCGTCCTCGGCGCGCACCGCCGCGCCCTGAGCTCCTACGCCTGGACGCTGCTCTGCGTCGTCGTCCTCCAGCAGCGCGGCGAGGCCCCGGCGCTCGGGCTCGGGGCCGCGGCCGCGCTCCTCTCGGACGCCGCGGCGAACCCCGCGGACGCGCGCGCGCGCGTCGCCGGCGCCGTCGCCGCCGACGTGGCCGCGGCCTTCGCGGGCTTCGCGGCGCCGCGTGACGACGACGCGGGCCTCGGCGCGCGCTTCGTCGACCTGCTGGCGGTCCTCGCCTTCCGCCGCGACGACGTGCTCTCGCTCCGCGGGCCGGAGGCGGCGCGCGCGGGGTGGCGCGCGCCCCCGGGCAAGCACGTGGACCGCCTCCGCCTCGAGGACCCGCTCGAGACGCGCCGCGACCTCGGCCGCGCGCTCACGCGGCGGACGAACTCGCAGCTGACGCGCGCGGCGCTCGCGGCGCTCGTCAACCACCTCCCGGCCGGCGCCGGCCGGCCCGACGCGCCCGTCCCGGCCTGGCCCTTCGCGGCGTAACTTACGATGTGCTTTACCATGCGGGAGCCGGCGGCTCGACCGCAACGCGTGCTCAGAAGGACGGCGCGGGCTCGTCGGGCTTGCGGCCCGAGGAGCGCTGGGCCCAGGCGAGCTTCCAGGCGCCGTCGACCTTCTTGAAGATGAGCGTCATGACGCAGATGTCCTCGTTGGGCGTGCCCTTGTAGGTGAACTTGCCGTACTGCGTGAGGCACGCGAACGCCATGTCGCCGGACACCTGCGGGCGGAGACGCGTCCGCGAGCGGTTCCCGGGGCGACGGTCGCGCGAGCGGTTCCCGGGGCGACGGTCGCGCGAGCGGCTCCCGGGGCGATGGCGCGAACCGTCGACGGTCGCGCGAGCGGTTCCCGGGGCGACGACACGAATCCCGTCCTCTCGCGACGGCGCGACGGTCTCGAGAGCGATTCTCGCGGCGACGGGGATCCGCGCTCGCGCGCGAACGGATCGTCTCTCGCGCGTCGTGAGCGGTGCGTACGACGCAGGCGGCGCGCCTCGAGCTTGTGGATCTTCTTCAGCTCGCCGGCCTGGACGACGACGTCGCCGGTCATCATGGCGGGAAAACCAATCTTGTCGATCGGGTTGCCGGTCGGCCGGACGAACTGGAAGTCGTCCGTCGTGTTGCCGGCGATCCAGTCACCCATCTTGATCGAGCAGAACTCGCTAATCATCGTCTCGAGCTCGGCGGCCATGGTTTTGTGTCGGGCTTCAGCGAGATCAGCGCAAAGATGCTCGAGTCGGGTCGAGATCCGTGCACAGCACACGACCCGAGGCCACCGTACGCCTCTCTGTCGCGACTCCGAGGCCTGTGAAGCCGCCTCCACACGTGCAAAAAACACTTACAGCTCCTCCTTCGGCGCCGCTCGACCACCGGAAAGCGCCCAGATCGTCGAGTCGACGTCGCCGCCGAGGCGGTCGTCCTGCTCGTTGGAGACGGCCAGAAAGGTCGTGCCCGATATCGTAAAGGCCTTGAAGTCCGTCGCGCCGAGCGTCGGGAGCGACTGGACGAGCTTCAGGGGCTTCTCGGCGGCCGCGTCGAGCTCGTAGACCGACGAGTCGCGGCGGTACGAGCCGCCCCGGTCGCCGAGGTTCGCGACGGCCAGGTACGCCGTCCCGCCCGCGGCGAAGAGCTCCGCGGCGTGCGCGCCGTCCGTGCGGACCTTCTGCGCGCTCGCGTAGCGGCCGTTCGTCCAGACGAAGAGCTCGCTGTCCTGGCGCGGCGACCGCTCGTCCTTGTCGTTCGAGAAGAAGAGCCAGTGGCGGCCGCCGTGCTCGAGGGTCGCGGCGCCGTGCGCGCCGACCGTCGGGAGGTCGTGGTGGCTCTCGAAGGCCGTCCCCGCGGCGTTGAGCGCGAAGACGCGGGACCGCGTGCGCCAGCCCGTCTCGCGCGTGACGTAGCTCGCGGCGATGAGGTAGAGCCGCCCGTCGACGACGGCCGTCGTCGTCGCGCCGCAGCCCGGCGCGCGCACGGCCTGCCAGAGCACCCATCGATCGCCGCGGAGCGCGTAGATCTGGACGACGCCCTTGTTGAACTCCGCGACGGACAAAAAGGACGCGTCGCCGATCTTGAAGGTCACGACGTTGCCGCCGCCGTCGACGACGAGGCGCTGGTGCTCGACGAACGTTTCGCCCGCCCACCGCAGCACGACCGCGTCGCCGCCGTAGTAGTTGGGCACGACGAGCCAGCGGTCGTCCGCCGTCGCGACGAATTCGACGCCGTGCGCGCCCGTCGTCGCGAAGGCCTGGAGCTTCTCGAGCCTACCAGGTGCGTCGGTAACGATTTCTCTTCGTTTTCCCGGTCAAAATCTCTCGAAATTCGTCACGGCCGCAGGACGCTGCCTCGAGCCTTAGCTTGCCCGGCGCGTCGGAGAAGGCCTCGTAGACGACGCTCTCCGTCGTCATCGACGGCCGCGCGCCGGGCCGCGACGTGAAGAAGTTCGCGACGGCCAGGTAGTCCCGGCCGTCGACGACGAAGTGCGTCCAGCCGGCCGCGCCCTTCGTCGGCACGTCGAGCGCCTTCTCGAAGGGCTGCGCGGAGCCCAGCGACAGGCTCGCGGCGAGGACGACGCAAACATTTTTGTGCGCCTTCCAGGACGACCTCTGGCACGGTGCGCTGCAGTAGTACGTTTTTTTGCAGCGCGAGCACCGCAGCGATCCCGTCGATTCGCAGCCGTCGGCCGCGCACCGCCGAAGCATGACGGACGATGCGCTTCTGGGGCCGCAGCGCGAGGGGGAGCTCGGGTAGAGGCAGGCAGCGGCGCAGCAGCCCACCTCGCGAGAAGGCAGCCAAGACTTGGTGGCAGCCCGCGATTTGGCATAGTGCAACCATTCGATGTTGAAGCTCAAAAAAAAAGTAGAAAGCAAATAGACAAAAAAGGCAGCGGGGACTAGGCGTCGACGACCTTGGGACTCTCCGTCGCCGGGTCCGCGGGCGGCGCGTCGTCCGTCGCGGCGGCGAGGACCGCGCTTCCGGTCGCGTGCGGTAGGGCACGGAGCGGCTCGAGTTGCCCGAGGACCTCCGTCGCGGGGATGAGGAGCGGCGCGGGCTCCGGGCTCTCCTTGCCCTCCTCGGCGGCGGCGACGGCGGCCGCGCCCTTGACGACGGGCGGCGCCGCGGGCGCGCCGTAGACGGGCGTGCCGTATACGGGGTCGCGGCCGACGACCGGCGGCGGCGCGGCCTTCGCGGGCGGCGGCGGCTTGCCGTTCAGCGACCGCACGAGCGCCGGGATCGACGCGAGCCAGTAGACCTCGAGCGCCGTCAGGGGGAGCAGCGCCGCCAGGATCATGCCGACGTCCATGCCCTTGATGACGAGCGAGAGCATGCCGACGGCGCCCGTCGCGACGACCGCGGCGACGAAGCCGCCGACGGCGTAGTCCTTGGCATCCATGGGCGGCAGCGGCGCCTTCGACGGCTTCAGGGGCCCCACGAGGATGAGCACGACGGGGATGAAGAGCACGCCCGTGAGCACGCCCGACAGGATGACGCAGAAGAAGGGCCAGAAGTACGTCTCGCGGATGAACGGGTACGGCGCGAAGACCATGAGCAGGATCCCCAGCACCGTCGAGTTCGTGCCGTGGAGGATCGGCAGGAGCATGTGGTGCATGGCGTTGGCGATGCGGTCCTCGTGGCTGCCCTCGGCGAGCAGGAACATGAAGATCGTGTGCGTCGTGTACTCGTCGGCCATGCCGATGGCCATGAGGATCGCGATGGCCGTCATGCCGTTGAACATGAGCCCCACGAGGCCCATGAGGCCGCACGCGACGACGACGATCATGGCGATGGAGATGCACACGATGGCCGCGCCGTAGAGGCCCGACCGGATCCGCGTCCGCAGCGGGATCGACGGGTCCTGCTGCGTCACCGTCAGGATCGTCGTGCAGAAGCAGGCCGCGTTCAGCGCGAGGATGATCTGGATCATCGCCGAGTCGATGAGGGCCAGGTAGCTCTCCCAGTACGTGTACACGAAGCCGTCCATGAACGCGTCGAGCCCCCCGTGCGAGCCCCAGCTGTCGACGACGTCCCGCGTCTTCGTGATGCAGGAGATGGCGTCCTCCGTCGACTGGAGGACGCCCTTGAGCAGCGCCCGCGTGATGGTGTACATGATGGGGTGCTCGATGTGGCGCGCGCCCTCGTCGTCGAGGTACGTGACGATCTCGCCCGTCGCGCCGATGATGTTGCCGTTGACGTAGTCCTCGTAGCACTCGTAGAAGCGGTCCGCGGCGATGACCCCCGGGATGTCGTAGCGCGAGTCGAGGCCGAAGTTCGCCTCCGCGTCCATGAGCCGCGCGCCCCGGTCGTCCGCGTCCGCGCCGAGGCCGTACTGCGACGCGTTCTCCGCCGGGAAGAGGTAGCAGGCGAGGCTGCAGTTGCCCTGGTTCTTGACGTAGGGGTCGTTGCAGGCCGCCGTCGTCGCGAAGTTGTAGAGCGCGTGGACCCAGGAGTTCGTGAGGTGGAAGTCCGTGATGACGAACTTGGACAGCGCGACGCGCTGCACGAGCTCGTACAAGTGGAGCTGCGTCTCGTTGTAGTGCGACTGGCGCGTGACGAGTCTAGCGTTGTCGTCGCCGGAGTGCTCCCAGTAGGAGCGGAAGTAGAACTGGGGGCTCGTGCCGTCGCGGAAGACGCCCTCGGGCTTCTCGCCGACCTCGAGCCCCGTCATGCCCACGGCCGCGCAGACGAGGAGCGCGACGTAGGCCAGCAGGAAGGCGCCGCGCACGTGGGGCTTCTTCAACCCGGCGACGTAGAGCTCGACGACCTTCTCGCCGACGCCGTCGCCGCCGCCGTGGGACGCGCGCGTCTTCGCCGCCTCCTCGTGCTTCTTCGCCTCCTCCTTGGACTCCTCGCGCGGCGACACGGGCGCGGGCGCCTTCTTCTTCGTCGTCAGGGCCGCGGCGATGCGCGAGCGCCAGGAGCTTGTTGTCGCGCCGGGCGCGTCCGGCGCCACGGCGGCCTCGTTCGTCCCGAAGACGAACGCGCGGAACCGGAGCTCGAGGGAGAGCATCGCGACGAACATGAAGAGCACCGCGAAGAAGATGAAGGAGATGCCGATGGCCGCCTGGGCCGAGAAGTCGATGACCAGGGGCAGCGTCGACATCATGCCGCAGAGGAAGCAGATGAAGTTCGTGAGGGACGTGAGCAGGATCGACGGGCCGATCTGCCCGAGGTGGCGGCCCATGACCGCGTGGAGGTCATGCAGGTCGTCGTACTCGAGGTTGATGTTGCACGCGAGCACGAACATGTCGTCGACGCCGAGCCCCATGAGGAGGAAGGGCAGCACCTTCGACGACGTCGCGTTGAACTTGACGCCCATGAGCGCGGAGAGGCCGAGGCCGCCCGCGACGGCGACGGCGACGAGCGCGACGCCCAAAAGCCCGTTGAACATCTTGAACGTCTTGAGCTTGGGGAACTCCGTGAAGATCATGGTCGAGTAGGCGAAGAGCAGGAGGTAGCCCACGAGCACGGGCACGAAGGAGCCCTTCGTGAGCTCCTCGTAGGCCTTGTCGAGCGTGTTGTACTCGTTGTACGCGCCCATCTTGATGTGCTTGTCCTGGTCCGGCACGAAGGCCTCGTCCCAGACCTTGGACATGGCGTCCAGACCCGCCTCGGCCTCGCCCTCCGTGATGCCCAGGAACTGCAAATCGTGCTTCTGCCCGAAGTCCGAGTTCTGGTCCGCCCACTTGGCGGCCGCGTCGAGGTCGCCCGCGGTGTTCTCGCGGCCCTCGATGAACATGATGGTCTGGATGGCGCCGGCGGACTTGATGCGGCCCGACGGCGTCGTGCGCTTGTTGAGCACGACGTACTCGTTCGTGAACTCGAGCGACGGCACGGCCGTCCAGGCCGGGCACGAGTCCTCCGCGAGCCGCCGCACGTCCGCGTCCGTCGCGACGTCGACCTGCCACGTCTTCGGGTCGACGTTGATGAAGAGGAAGTCGCGCGTGAAGTTGGCCACGAGGTTCATCGTGTAGGCGCGGTTCTCCGCGAGCGACGCCCGGAACCGCGCGAAGCGCCGCGCGCAGTCGGCGAACGAAGTCTCGTTGATGCGCTCCGGCAGGAACTCGTCGGGGTCGGCGTAGATCGTGTAGTTCTCGAAGATGCCGCACTCCGTCAGGTTGTGGTAGCTCGAGTTGTAGAAGTCGTTCTTGAGGTGGTTCGCCTTGCACGTACTGTCGCACTGGTTCGGGTAGCGCTCACCCTCGTAGCCCGTGGAGTTGGCCTCGCTGTAGAG